AATGAAACAAGACATCTTCATGAGAAATAATGATTTTTAACAAGTAATTCTTCTATTACAAATGACAGGTTTAAATAGCACTCCTAGAAATATCACTTACATCTCACCTTTTTAACTGGATTGTGTCTGGTGCATTCTGTGTGGGTCTATTTGCTGTTTGTCCCTTTCTTTTGTTCATTTTGTGTGTGTGTGTGTGTGTGTGTGTGTGTGTGTGTATAACTCACCTTTATTTTTATGGTCTCTAAATTTTGTTATGCTTAAAAAGACCTTCAAGTTTATAAAAATGTTACCCCTATTTTCTCTAGTGTTTTTGTTATTTTCACTTTTTACATTTAAATCCTAAATAACTGCGGGTTATATTTTAGTGTGAGGATTTGGATAAAGAGCAAGGTTTATATGTTTCCAAATGGCTAGCTAGTTGTTTTAATAGCATTTATTGAAAATCTATCTTTTCCCCAAGAAGTTAAAATTCACTTTTATGTTATACTCAATGTTTTTGTTCTTTGGGTCTGTTTCTGGGTGCCCTGCCTTTTCATTCATCTATTGATCTGTTTTTAAATCAATACCAGACTATTTTAATGACCACAGTTTTGTAGTATGCTTTGATAATGTTAGATAAAACCCCACCCTTCCAGCCAACCCATCTATCCCCTCTGCCCCACTTCCTTTTTCAAAAGTACATTGTAATTTTTTTAGTTAATGCATTTTTTAAATAGCTTGACTTAATACTTCACTTTGCTCTACTAACTGAAATGAATGTTTCCCTTAAAAAAATATTATCCAGAGAGTGAGTTTTAGTGCTGCTCACTCTAGTGAAGTAGGGCAGAGCTATGCCAGCTTTGTAAAGACAGTATCTTTTTGTTCTCCAGGACTTCTGTTGAGAAATGATGTGGTCACTGGCGCTTTAGCTCCCTCTAGCAAATACCCCTCAGCCAAATGGAAAAGCCCCTTTGACATTTGAGCAAGATTTCTGGAAACTTGGCCATGTCTGCAGACAAGATCTCGTCTAAAGCTTAATTACATGGTTTAGGACATATTCCAACTGAGATATTACTGCTTTCACATTCTGAGCTGCTGTGACCATCCCATTAAAAAAAAAAAAAAAAAAAGAGTCAAGGAAAGTCTTTTAAAAAGCTAGCTGAAAGAGTTATAAACACTGGTTAATCCATTAATGTCTGATTTTTTTAAATACCCATTTTTGAATGCCCATGTAGGTCAACCTTAGTTTAAAAAAATCAGCCCTAGCTGGTTTGGTTCAGAATGCTCCAGACTGGGACTTGGGAATCTGTAGTTTAAAAAACTACATACATCAGTTAATTCTAATGGATTTGACCATTGAATCAGAGTTTGGGGAACCACTGTGAATTACACTAGTTTATTCTCACTAATCTCTAAAATGGTGCAGTAAAATAATGATATTTCATATCATTGTTAACCTAATAAATGAATCTTTATTGTGTGCCAGGCACTGTGCTAAGAGCTTTTTATTACCTCATATAATTCTCATAACAATCCCATGAAGTAGATACTATATTATTCTTATATTACATGAGTAAACTGAGGTAGAAAGAGGTTAAATTAGTTGATAAAAGTCATTTCAGCTACCAAGTGTAGAGAGTGAGCATGTCAACTACTGCAGTTAATATGAAGATTATATTAGGTAATGTATTTAAAGCACTGACACACAATGGGTACTCAATAAATGCTTTATTTTCCCTTCAGTTTACCTATGTGATTCTATTTATGCCCAGTGAATTTTAGATTGAGGACCTTTAACAGTGCCCAGAGAACTGAAACTTTAATATTCTAGAAGTCAGACGATAAAGGGGAATTAGGTATCAGTGGAAAATGGTGGTGGTTGGAATCTCTAACAGAGAAACACAAAAGCATCTACACTAATAAAAGAGTAAGATGCAAATTGACTGTATCTTCATGAAGCCCATGAGCCAATCATGAGTGAGTATGCAAATCAACCAAAGATGGTGGGTTAATTTGCATACACAGGCACTGAACAGCCGGGGGTGGGACAGGATGCTTGCGTTGTTGCCATGGTGATGACACAGCCATTCCTGCATGACCCCAGCTGCTCCAGGCCTCTGGACAGCATGGGAAGGTGGAAAGGCGGCTCCAAGCTGGAGCAAAAAAGTGGCTCCGGTCCCAGCGAAGGTGCTGCTGGCAGCCAGGGGAAGGAAGGCCCATTCATGCATGAATCTTCATGCATAGGGCCTCTCTCTATATATATGGAAGAACAGGTACACATGAGCAGAAACAGCAGCATGACCACTGAGGCCACAGAGTTATTGTGAGGATAGGAAAAGAGGAAAACCAAGGCATGATGACAGAACCACATCATCTCAGAGGGCAGGGTCCTAAACAGACACCTATCCAGCCCCACTTCTGCCACATGGTTATTCAGTTCTTCCTTGGATAGTTTCCATGACAATAAACAACTTATCAAGGCAGGAGAGGCTCTAATAGTTAGAAAATTTTCGTCTTCATATTCATGTAGGGTTTCTACATATAGGCCCCCTTTATACTCATAGGGCCTGAAGAATGAGTCTAATTTCTCTTCTATTTGACAGTTCCTCAAATATATGAAGACAGTTACCTTGTACCACCTGGGGCAAAACCTTCTGCTTCCTTTAATCTTTCCTCATATGACATCTTTACATTCCTCTCTTTACATCCCCAGCTTCTTTACATCCCTCTGTGCATGTAGAACATTTTTCTTTGCCAAGCCCTACTTGGAGACAATGTTCAATGTGTATATAATGACCAGCAGCACTGGGCAGCACTGTAAAACCCATCCCGCTTAACATATCACACTTTTATCAATGCAGCCTAAGACAGCACTCATTTATTTTGGCAGCCACACTTCACTGAGGACTCAGATTGAGTTGTTTGTCACCTAAGATCCTTTTAGACTTGGTCTTACATGCAATTATTAAGATACCTCTGCTGCTGTCCTCTCAGCAGTTGGTTGCTCAGGGCAGGACCCCCCACACACACACATACACACACACATTTATCCCTGTTAGAGTCAGTCCATTGCTACAACACTGCGTTTGGCCTGTGCTGTGTAATGGTGTCATTTCCCCTCCTGGTTTTGTGTTATCTGGAAATGTGATGCCAACCCTCTGGGGTTTCATTCAGAACACTGATAAAAGTCCTGACATTTGGGCCCTGGAGAGAGCTTTATATGTCATCCTGATGGTAACTGGTATGGTATGAAGGTTCTAGAGTCAAACAAACCTGGTTTGAACTATGGCTCTGCCACCTACTGTGTGACCTTGGACTAGCTAAGCTAAACTCTGAGTTTCAGTTTCCTCATCTGTAAAATGGGGCTATGAGGATTAAGGGGAAAGATGCAGGGAAAGCACTTAGCACAGCATAGATGCTGCACAAATATTGATTCTCTTCACCCTTTGTTCTGGTCAACATGGATTCGTTAATCAGCATCTTTTGGTTGTGGTTACTTAACCAGTTATTCATCCAATTGATTATACTAGAATCCAGGTCCATATTTCCTCATCTTATCTACAGTATCTTAAAAAGTGCATTGCTAAAATCCCGCCAACATACAGTAGTCTCCTCTTGAAATCCAGGCAGAGACAAAGTAAAAAGCAGTATGATTCCACTTGCGTGAAAACTTAGGAAAAGTAATAAGCTACCAATGAAGCTGGTTGACCTTGAAAACAGTCAACACCTGGGCCACTGGCAATATTGGGCAACCACTCTGTGCCTGGCAATGAGCTGGGAATATGCAAAAGTTGTACAATGATTAAATGCAATGTCTGTGTTCAAGGAATAAGGCTAGCATTCTAGAGTCTTAGGGGCTAATAATCTGGGTCACAGAATTGAGTGCAGTGATTTATGGAGAGGGCTCTTACTCAGTGCCATCTCACCCCTGTTAGATGCTAAAAGGTGTGGATGAGTATAATAAAAAAGAAGACACCACCGTCCTTTGTATTCAGGGAACTTAACTTCTGGAAGGGGTGGGAGTTCTTTGTGCCAGAGGCCCACTGCTGAGCGCTTGAAATGCAGAAGACAGATTCTGTCCGCTCAGTATTCAAGTTGTATCTTATTATGAAATGTTTATTTTCTGTAACTATTTGTTCCTGTCTGTCTCACTCAGGGGGCAGATGTTTGCGGTAGAGACAAAGGCTGTTGGGATGCTGTCTGCCACACAGTAGGTGGTCAAAACTCAGCTACTGGATGAAAATACAGTGGAATCGCTCCAGGTTTCAGTTTTCATTTCTGAACGAGAGTAACAGCTCCAACGGGACGCTTGGAGGTCAGAGTAACGAAGAGAAGGTAAGAACACTTGGATGGAAAAGCCTTCTATCTAATAGAAATACTAAGTATTCGTTCTCGCATTTGGACTTTGGCAAACCAGGATGTTTTAGGCACTAGAGTTCCTAAAATTGATTTCCTCGATAGAGTTGGAGGAAGGGAAGTGAGGCAATGCTTTTAGTCAGGGTGCCCCAAATAAAAGACGGGGAAGGAGGAAAGGTGGCAGAGGTGAGCCAACCGCCAACCACGGACCCAGGGAAGAGGGACATCGCGGGAGCCAGCAAGGATGCGGATTCTGCACCCGCAGGGGCATCGCAAGTGACAGACCTGAGGGACAGGGAGAGCGCAGGGGGGAGGAAATCCAGGGAAAGCGCGAAGATTGGCCCTCCGCTCGGGGCGTGCGCTTCTGTGTGCCAAGCGATTGGTGGCGGGAAAGTGGCAGGTAAACCAGCCCCCGCCGCCTCGCCATTGGCCAGAGGCCTCTCCGGCAGCCACACAACTGGCCAGCGGAGTGCCGAGCCGTGCGCGGATTGGCCGGGGGCAAGGGCCGAGGCCGGCTTGCTTCGGGCGCTCCGATTGGCTGGCAGGAAGAGGCAGGTATCCGGCCTCCGCGTCTCCTCCATTGGTGGGCGTGGAAAGGGGGCTGGGCACAGCGATTGGTGGGCGGGGGGCCGGGCCTGGGCCGGCGGGGAGCGGATTGGTCGGAAAGTAGGTTAGTGGTGCGACATTTAGGGAAGGCAGAAAGTAGGTCAGGGACGGAGGTGCCTGTTTACCCGCGCCGGACTCACCGCCGCCGCCGCCGCGGGATCCGAGTGGGGGCGCGGGCGCGGGCGCTCCCGGCGAGCCACGGTGAGTGTCGGGCTGGCCGCGGTCAGCTGCATGGCCCCGAGCACCCCACCGGGGGCCGTTAGCACCTTGGCAGGCGCAGCGACCCTGCCACCGCCCGGGTCGCTGCCCGGCCGCCCGGGAACCTTGCCCGACGTGCCCGCTGCCGGCCTTAAAGGGCCCGTGCCCGCTCCCTGCCCCCACCGGGGCCATGCAGAGGCTGCGCCCCTTAAAGGCGCCGCGCCCGTCCGCCCTCCTCATCCCTCGCGGGAGCCGGCGCTGCGGGGTGGGAAGGGCAGAGGTGCCGCAGGCGTCCCTAAAGGGACCGGGAAAGTACCTACGTCCTCTCCGCGGGCATCGCTACCTGACGCAGGGAGGGAGCATCCAGCTGCCCCTTAAAGGGACAGCTCCGCCTTCTGGGAGCAATGACCGACTGAAAGCGAGTCCTAGAATGCGTCCCCGGAGCTGCGTGGACCCCGGAGGGGTCTATCTTGGACGGCTGCATCCCCCAAGGGCGTTGGGCGAGCGATGCCAATTCTGCCCTTCCTCCGCCTCTCCTTCACTTCCCTTTTGGGAGCCTGCAGGGCTGGGTGGGGGCGGGGAGGGCGTCTCCTTCGGGCTTAGGGAGTCCGAGCCCGCCCGCCCCTTTGGCCCTAATCGCCGGGGCTAGCGCTGCACCCGGGAATCCCCGGTCCGAGGTGGGGCCGACCCTAGCCTGCGAACTTTGTCCAGCCTGAGCCTTCTGGGTTCTGGGCAACCCCGGGAGGGACCCTTCTGGGTATGCGAGCAGGTGCCCCCCCCCCCACCCGGCGCGGAGCTGTCACCCGGCGTCCAGGTGTGGGTGGGCCCGCCGCCGGTCGTGGAGCCCTGGAGCGCCGCGGTGGGCGCAGCGAGCCTGGCTTTAGCACCAGCTTTGACAGATGTCAGAGGATAAAAAGGTTCCCGTTCTTGATTGCCGGGGTGTTGACAGCCAAAAGAGCTTTCGTTTGCTCTGAGGAAGACATAGAATAGACATTAATACCGACCTTATGGAGCACGAGTCTCCAGGGGTCGGGAGAGCTGGCTGCGGGGCGCACGCAGGTGCCGGCGGCGCTCAGATATGGGAAGGGCTACCCCAGCATTTGGCGTCTGTTGTCAAGTTTATCTTGGCCGGTGGGGGCACCAGGCTGACGCCCCTCACACCACATTCCCGGTTCCCTTTTCCCTCCCTCAAGAGCTAAGGGTCCTTCTCAGGCACCTAGCGTTGTTTTGGCATTTTGGTGCTTGTGATCCCTCTGCTTATGTAGTTAATGCTCAAGAAGGAATCATTAGCCAAGTTTTATCGCCCAGCTCCCAGAAATAAGATTGGATATTTATGAAGAAACATTTCTTGACTATTATATCTGCATTTCCAGGGTCTTCCTTAAAAAAAAAATCCATAAAAACTGCTGATGCATCTCATTCCCCTCAACACTTGTTTGTCATCTGCCCTTCTGACGTCTGCTACTGTATCCCTTTAATCTATTTTTAAATGACAGCTATTATTTTAATTCTCCTGGTCCCATTGATATCAGGTTCTGTCAATTTGGGTTGGTGGAGTTTTTAAGTAATGGTTGAATCATGCGCCTAAAATAATCATTGCTTCTCCTGAGCAGTTTCAAATAGTCTCATGCTCTCTGTTCTTGCAAGAAATCACTGCTATTAGATTTGATGTTCTTATCAATGAAATTCCAAAAATATTTTTAAAACACAAAATTAAATCTTTCAATCCATGCTGTTACCGAGTCATTGTATTGATAGTTCTTTAAAGCAGTTTGCTGAACATACTTAAAAGGCTTTAAAATGATTTTGAAATTATCTGTAGGATCTGAAGCTGAATCTGTAGAAGCATTTTGGTTTTGTTTGTAAATGTAGCCAGTGAATAATGATAATATTAATAGGTTAAAAACAGCTAAATATGTACGTTATTCCAACCCATAAAATTTTAAACGAGAAAGAGAAAGCAACAGGTGTGGTGGAAGAGGGCTAGCCTGAGAGTTACAATACCATGGTTCCAGCCCAGAAGTGGGCTTTCATGGCTATGCCGCTGGGGCAAGTTGCTGAACTTTTCTGTGTTCTAGTTGCCTCAGATGAAAAATAAGGCACTTGAACGAGGTGATCTCAGAAGTTTCTTCTGCTATAAAGTTCTATGTGTCTCTAAATATTTAATACATTTGAATTCAGGTTGGTATTAATATTTTACCTGCTGAAACCCCTGGAATATCTGAGCTGGAGTCCTATTTTCATAGAGACTTAGATAGTTGGTGTTTTAAAGAATCCATTTCAAATTATTTATAAATAATGACTTCTTAGGAGTTTGTCTATTATTTGCAAAAAAGATTTGCCTGTCACAGGGAGGAAAAGGAAGAGGCCGTGCTTTCAGATTTATTCCTCCACACTGACAGTCTCTACCCAATTTGTGTACTCAGTGATGGACAAATAGTGTAGAAAGACTTGGCTATATTAACAGATTCTGTGAGAATATGAAAAACTAAATATTTCATTTGTCTTTGACATAATGGTTGCCTTCCTTTTATGAGCTTCCTTTTATTTGTGATTCCATCATCAACTTTCACTGCGGTGGAAGAAAGTCCGTATTAAAGAAACATTGCCCCCACAATGTTATAGTTATAGAGGTGATTTTAGATACTGTCATGATAAACACTTGCAGGGAAGTAAAAAAAAAAAAAAAAAAAAAAATTAAAAAATTCCTCTGTTGACTTTAAGGTTCAGTTAGGAGCCCAGAAATAGGCATGTTGCCCTTTTCCACAGTCCTTTCTCTCCTCGTTGCCACTTCATCATAATACCCAGGCACTCCTAACTCCATCCATCCTGGCTGTTCTTTCTTTTTCCTCCATCCATCCTGGCTGTCCCTCCGTCCCTCCCTCTCCTCTCCCTCCCTCCCTCCCTTCCTCCCTCCCTCCGTCCTTGACTTAAGCTCCCTTGGTATTCTTCCTTCCTGCCCATAATGTCCTGTCTCTTCCCTCCCCTCCCTCCATCTTCTCCTCTCCTAGTTCAGAAAAAGCAAGTGGATCTCTCCTCTGTTCCCTCTTCTTAGACCCTCACTTTCAGTGGGAGCCGGAGTCTGGTAGCAGGAACTAGGACTCGGGTTCAGGCTGTGTTGCCTTAGACAAGTGCTTAGCTCTCCTGGCTGCAGGCAGACTCCTTTTCTGTGGTATAACGACAGCGCCTGCCTCATGTATCTATGATGAGGTTCAAGGGAACAAGAGAGATGATGCATATAAAATGCCTGGCACACAGGAAGCCCTCCCCCATTGCCTGCTGCCACTCCTTCCCACCGCTGCCAGAGTCCTCTCACCGGAATATCCTTCTGTACTATTTTTCTTCAGCCTCCTTACCAACCCCAGAAAAACCTTTGTCTTGATTTAGGAGAGGAAGGATGGAAGACAAACAGATTTGTTATAAGCCTGCTTTCACATGTCTATACTTGGTCCCCGAGTCTCCATCCCTCGCCCTCCTTCCTGCCTGGCAACCTCTCACAAGGTTGCAAACATTCACCTTCTCTACGTGTCATCTGCTCCATCCTTAGGTCCTGCCCTCTGGCTTCTCGCTCTACCACTCTTTTCTATATTTCTTCTGCAAGATCTCAACACTTTACATATTGAATTCCAGGGGCCGTTCTTAGTCAGAAGTAATTGTTCTTTGCCCCTTTGCAGCTTTTACCCTGCCTGGCTTTCCCTCCTTGAAATCCCTTTCTTCCTGTATCTTTGGGTTATGATGCTTTTTTGTTATTGCTGTTGTTCTCTTCCTGCATACCCTCAAGGTAGATGTCTATCCTGGCCTCCACCCTTCACATTATCTCCTTTGCCTAGAGTCCCATTTTTAATCCTGATCTCTCGCTCCTGCTTCAGCTGTCAGCAGGTTCCCTGCACACACTCGCAGCAGCTTATAGCCAGCATTGTGGCCTTGGAGTTACAGATTGCAAACTACTTGCAAGCACTGTCATCCTCCTGGCATCCTGGTGCTGTACCTTTTCACCCCTAAGCTGTCCTGAGACACAGGTTGGGTGGTTAATAACTCAGGCTTTGGAGCCAGATTTCATATTCCTGGTTTGTTGTTTTTTACCTGGTTTATGACTGTGGTCAAGTTGCTTTGTTCTCTATGTCATGATGTCCTCATCTACAAGACTGGGATCTCTGTAATTCCTATCTCAATGAGTTGCAGTGTGGACTAAATGAGTTAAAACATTAAAAATGCATGAAGCTATTCATGGCACATAGAAAGCACTCAATGAATGTTAAGCTGTCTGCATTGCTGTTGCTTCTTGCCTCTCCATAGCCAGCCCACCTGGCTACCAGGCTTTGCTGTGTGCACAGGACCGTCCGGTCAAACTGAAGGACTTTCCATTCCCTGGACCAGCTCTTGGCCCTTCCCAGGCCCCAACCTTCTCATGTCCAAATCCTACTCTGCTTTAAGACCCAGCTCAAATGTTTAGTGCCCCAGGAGCTATTACTTCATTTTGTTTTTCTTCCTCCTTGTTCTGATTCTCTTAGGTACTGCTGCATTCCATGTTGTGTTGGGCTATCTCTGGGCATATATCACTTGGCAGGGAGTCCACCTTGGTTTTCCAAAATGATAGGCACAGGGAGCTTAATGGATATGCTTATTCCAACGAACTGTCTGGGGAAGAGATGGGATGGGATAAGGCACTCGGGGACTAAGCAGTTGAAGGGAAGGGGACTATACCAGTGGCGAGGTGGGGGCATGAGATGAGAAATGCAACAGGGGCACACATGGACATGGTCACGAATAAATAAATAGCCTACATGGAAGGAGGGTTTGAGTTGGGGACTTCACCTCTGGGGAGGTGGAATTGGATAATCTTTAGTCATCTTTGTTTTGGGGGAATGTTGAGTGCTGACATTTGATGGCAAATGATTTTTATGTTAGTACATGCTGTTCTTTTAAGTAGTATAAATTCTTGTTTATCCAGCCTGGTTAGAGAAGGGGTTGGATGGTCTGCCTAATTTAATATTCTGGTTAAT